TAAGTATTTACCCGTAGTACCATATCAAACGTCTTAAACAAGATTACCTCCCATTCATCTACACAGGCTACATTTTAAGGTGTGGGTCGCTTGGTCCGTTGTGTCTAAGGATTAGTTTGCCCATTAGCGTTTTATTGTCGCCTCCTGGTGGGATCGTGCCTCGCTGTGGTCTATCACCTCGTGCTGGCTCCTAAAAGTATGTACAGTTTCTTTAAACAATGGTGAGCGCACCATGAAAGGAAGACACCTCCTGCAGTGCGAACCTGGCAACGAGGGTGGGCCATCATGAGGGTGCCCATGTCTCCTGATCAGACCGACTGTCAAGTCATGGGGATCACTCCCAAGACCAGAGGCTGGCCATAGGCGATATACTAAACCCGAAAAAGCTGTCTGGTGGAAATATATTAGGGCGTCTTAAGTAGCAATCAAACCCGAGGATTTCCCCGCCAATGGCTCTATATGCCGGTCGATAATAGCTTTCCATTCTAAATATACGTTTAATTAGCCGCACCAACTGCATTGTCTGGTCACTTACGCCGCCCCAGGTAATAGGAAGAGGGCCGGAGAAGCTCTTTAGACATTCACATGCATTACCGAAGTTGACAGGGTTGTGGAGGTTAATCTTTCGAATAACTGACCACATACACCCGCACTTGCCGAATACGCCCCGGAGTATTCCTCTAATTGATATTATTCGTCCATGTCTAACTAATTTCTGTTGCCATACGAAAACGTACGGTAAGACTTTCGGCAGGAATTCAAACAATTTCCGCGTTTTCTTGCATTTCGACAGCTTCCTGTCTGGCGTGTTGTCCCATCCGTAAAACCTCCATTACTACCATTCCCGTATGACATGATCCAAAGTCTACCGACAGTTAGTTGGGGTCCTTCGCCCTACCGTTGCCTTTGCAAATGCCTCTACGTTGGCGGTGATCGGAGTTAATGTAGGCCTTCGTCTTTTAAGCTCACGTTTTCTAGTTTATGCATTAGTACTGACCACACAAAAGCACCATATAGTCTTTCATCGCTAAGTGGACGTCTGGTCGGCGCCGAAATTGCTAAATATATGCAAGGCTCTAGAAGTCTGGAAAACACTCATCGGCCAACTTAAGAAGGATCAGAGTTTACGTCCTGTTCTCCATCGTTCAAGTTAAATGACATAACATCAGACAGGCAAGAATGGCCCAGCTTTTTTACGGAGGAAAA